GTGGAATCCCTAAAGGGGCTCCGCACTGTCCGAGCAGCTTGTGGAGTGTGGCATACTGCTGCAGTTGTTGAAGTCATGGTTGGGAATTCAAGTTCTAGCAACTGTTCCTCAGGGATGCTATACACGTGGGGAAATGGGGATAAAGGTCGACTCGGGCATGGGGACAAGGAAACAAAACTTGTTCCTACTTGTGTCGACGCTCTTGTTGAACCGAACTTTTGCCAAGTTGCCTGCGGACACAGTCTGACAGTTGTCCTTACAACATCAGGGCATGTCTACACCGTGGGAAGTCCTGTCTATGGTCAGCTAGGAAACCCACAAGCCGATGGGAAGGTTCCTACCCGTGTTGAAGGAAAGCTCTCCAAGAGTTTTGTTGAGGAGATTTCTTGCGGTTCTTATCATGTTGCTGTTTTGACTTCCAGAACTGAAGTTTATACTTGGGGAAAGGGAGCAAACGGTCGATTAGGTCATGGGAATACTGATGATAAGAACTCCCCAACATTGGTAGAAGCTCTGAAAGACAAGCAAGTCAAAAGCATTGCATGTGGCACGAACTTCACTGCAGCAATCTGTCTACACAAGTGGGTTTCGGGCGTTGATCAGTCAATGTGCTCTGGTTGTCGCCTCCCTTTTAATTTCAAAAGAAAACGTCATAATTGTTATAATTGTGGACTAGTCTTTTGTCACACATGCAGCAGTAAGAAGTGCCTTAAGGCTTCCATGGCTCCAAATCCCAACAAACCTTATCGTGTCTGTGACAATTGTTTTAATAGGCTGAAGAAAGCCATTGAAACCGACGCATCATCTCAATCTTCTATAAGTAGACGAGGAAGCATAAATCATGGGACTGGTGAATTTGTTGATAAAGATGATAAGTTGGATTCGAGGTCTCATGCACAAATCACTAGATTTTCATCAATGGAATCATTGAAGCACGGGGAAGGCCGATCAAAGAAAAACAAGAAGCTTGAATTTAATAGTAGTCGTGTCTCACCCGTCCCAAATGGAGGCTCCCAAAGGGGAGCACTTAATATTTCCAAATCTTTTCATCCTGTATTTGGATCATCCAAGAAATTTTTCTCGGCTTCTGTTCCTGGATCAAGAATCGTTTCTCGTGCAACATCACCAATATCAAGACGGCCTAGCCCTCCTCGTTCAACAACACCAATCCCAACACTAGGAGGCCTCACCTCCCCTAAAATAGTCGTGGATGATGTTAAGAAGACGAATGATGGCCTTAGTCAAGAGGTTATCAGATTAAGAACACAGGTATTTTGTTTTTCCTACTCAATACTCATGCGGAGATTTATATACTTTTTGTTTGCGAGGTTATTTAGTATTAATTCGTTTCACCTCACCATTCTTCTCTCTCAGGTGGAGAATCTTACCCGTAAAGCAAAACTTCAAGAAGTTGAGCTGGAAAGAACGACCAAACAGCTGAAGGAGGCAATTGCAATCGCAGAGGAGGAGAGTGCAAAATGCAAAGCCGCAAAGGAAGTCATCAAGTCACTTACTGCACAAGTAAGACGGATTAATTTATCTTGGTCGTCCACGGATATCTGTTTTAATAAAAGCTCTAGCCGCATGTCTCTGCATTGTGATGTTTTTGAGTAATCATAGCTCTGAACTATACTTAGCTATATTGTCATTTTGCCGGGTTTTTATACTTCAATTTCTTCTTATTTATGTCTAAAGCTCTTTGCTTACCTTTGGTTACAAACTGAGCATGTGAGAAGATCACGAGAATTCTCAAATTTCGTTATACTTCAATTTGGACTTGCGAGTACTTTCATCTTGTTTATCTACTGATATGAATGCTATTTGATATGCTAAGCAGTTAAAGGATATGGCTGAAAGACTGCCTGTCGGGGCTGCTTGGAACATCAAGTCACCTTCGTTTACTTCGTTTGGCTCTAGCCCTCCTTCCAACGATGTCTCTAGTGTTTCCTTTGAAAGATCAAACGGTCAAATATCATGTGGAGAACTGGATTCAAATGTATCAAGCAGCCAGTTTCTTTCTAATGGGTCCACCACCTTAAGTAACCGTAGTTCAAGCCATAACAAACAAGGCCTTGAACCAGCCACTAAAAGTGGAGGCAGAACAAAAGAAGGTGAATCTCGAAACGGGAATGAATGGGTTGAGCAAGATGAACCCGGTGTGTATATAACACTTACCTCGCTACCAGGAGGTGCCAAGGATCTCAAACGGGTTCGGTTCAGGTATGTTATGCATTACTCTCTGGCAATTCTAACTTGTGTAGACAAGCTATACCCCGGATCGGGAATTAAATGGTTTCAAATAACTTTGATCGCAGTCGTAAGCGGTTCAGTGAGAAACAAGCGGAACAATGGTGGGCAGAGAACAGAGTGAGAGTATACGAACAATACAATGTCCGCACAATCGACAAGTCCAGCGTTGGTGTTGGGAGCGAGGACTTGGCCTATTAACAGAATGAAGTAACTATATGATGTACATGCAATATAGTGTTTCCGAGATTCCGATCCCGACACTGGGAACTTGATTGATCAAGAGTGGTTTTTCATTTGTTTTTGCATCTTTTTATTATTCTTTTGCACCCCCCAACAACCCCCAACTTGATTTTACTTCATTTTTTCCCTATAAAATGACCATAATGTATATTTTGATTGGGTTGCTGGCTCTTGTTGCCTTGTAAATTCATAAGCGAAGTTAAATCAGCAGGAAAAACAAACAGTTTTACTCCTTTTCTTTTGGTCTATATGCCATATGCATATATTTGTGGGTAAAAGATTATGTTTCGAATATGAATAATAAAACAGTTGGCGACGACCGTCGAGTGAAGTATGATACATAGGCGTCGGGAAGTGCAAATGATGAAGAGGAAAGATGAGCAATTGAAAGGAAAGAAGTAAAGGCTTGTAATGTATGAGATTTCTCCATGGATTACTGCGATTTGGTAAACTCCATGGAAGATGATTAGGTTTTAACGTGTTGGAACGAAGACAAACCATAGCTTAAATGCTAACAGCTTATTTTCTAGACGCGTACAATATTAATAAAATAGTAAAATGATTCTAATTTTATTTGATATATACTAAAAAAACTATGATACGAACCGTTAAAAAAAATCCGGAGGAAAATCAAAAATATATATTAGATGTAGAGACTCTCGAATTCTTCTTCACAAACCGTGCAGTTAAGGTTATGTTTGTACTAAGGATGTTTATTGAGTGAGTCGATACGAGTTGAGTAATGTTCGACTCGACTTGAAAATTGTTCGACTCGTTACTCATTAAGTTCAATAAAATTTTGCTTGACTCGTTGCTTGTTAAGCTAACCAAATATTTTTGTCTTGTTTTTTTTCTAAAATATATGTAAAATCTAGTAATACTATGTAAAACTTAATATACACCTAAAATAACAAAAATTTGAAAAAATAATCAATAGGGTGTGAATCAATTCTAAAGTCTAAACCCAAAGTAGCAATCCACAAATTGTCAGATGCACCAACTAACATTTTACAACCAAAGGAACAATATAGAAATACACCAAATTAACGTATTACAATCATTCTTGAAAAAATAAAACTTTAAAAATATATATAATCAATCCTAAAAATAACACAATCAACATAAAAAATATTATAAAAAATTAACGAGCTATTCGTGAACTTATCAAGTCAAATTGAACTTTGCTTGACTCAATTCGTTAAAATCTTGAGTCGAGCTCGAATATGAGTCGAGTCAAACGTTCATCGAGTTTTAACCGAATTGAACTCGAGCTGCTCAACTCAATTAACACCCGAGTTATACGACGATATATATATTTAATGAGTTTGATCTAGTCCCGTATAATATTCTTGTAATTTATCATCGGTTATAGTGAATTTTTTTATTTAGTTTTTTTCGTATAAATCAGTGTATTTTTTTATTCTTATTTGTTAGTATTTACTTTAGTAATTTTGAAAATATTATTGTTAAAATTGAATTATATGAATAGCAAATAAGTAAATATAATTTTAAAAGATACTTCTTTAGTCCGTAAATTATACGAAAGATGATGAAGATGCTAAAATTGAAAATATTTTATTTGATACACCGAATATCTTTTAAAACATATCTCGTATTAAATTTATCCTTATCTTTATTTACATAATTATTTTGGCATATGAACCGTTTAAGGTAAACATTTTAATTAAAGCACATTTATGATATAATGCATGCCAATGCAAATTAATTTACTTATTTGGTAATCTATCTATTTATATATTTATATTTTAGTCATCATTTAAAAAAAAATCATACATAATATTATGTTTTATTTCTATTTTGATACTTCGTCGTTAAAGAATTAACGACAATATCAACGTAACACTTTTTATTTTCTTTCATTTTCTCTATCCTAATAAATGATTTACCCTATTTATAATATTGGATTTATCTTTTCAAAATTTAAAAATTAAGTTGATCCGATATTTTTTTATTTCTTTTAATTATCCTCCTTGGACCAATAAAAACAAACATTACATGTTTATCTCTTAAAGATATTCCTTTAACAGTTTGATCATGAATCTCCATTTTGAATTTCTTAAATAAAAAATTTCGATCAAACTTTTAATAATCTATTGAAAATATTATTATTTATCATAATATTTTTATAATCATTTAAAATTTATTTATTAATCAATTAATTTAAATCAATTACTATTCAAGAATTGAACTCCCTACCTTATTCAAGGAGTTTAAGATCTCATCTTCCTGGACTAAATTAATATTTGATAGTTATGGGTCTTTAAATTTTTTTATTTATTTTATCCATCAATATTAGCTCAAATCCCTATTTCATTGCCCTAAATACTTCAATCTTGCTGTTTTGTCCCTCTAGATGCCATTTTTAATTCTTCAAATCTTCTAAATTACCAGAATTTCTTTTCTCTGTTAGTTTCCCTAGAAAAAAAAACTCCCAAATCTTTGAGTTTTTTTTCTTTCTTTCTTTTCTTTTAGGGTTAGCTTCGTGTTTGATGGATGATCAAGTGACAAACATCATTGGAGAAGAGTCAGTTTCAATTGAAACAGCACTGAAGCCGAACAAGCTCATGTTAAAGCTCAAGATCTCCGAGAAAATCAGCCATGGCGGAGGAGGAAGCCATCATATCTGCTCGGTTTGCAACAAAGGGTTCACGTCGGGGAAAGCATTAGGTGGTCACATAAGGATCCACATGAAGGGCAATAAAGCTAGCTGTCATCGGAAGATCTCTAAACGTCAGCCAAGAAGCAATCACCGCGCAAAGTCGAAGAAGACGATCTCGAACATGAAGGCGTCACCGGATGGTGATCGGAACCAGGACAGCAACGAGAAAGTCAGCTGCTGCATATGCAACAAGGATTTCAAGTCGATGAAATCGTTGTTCGGACACATGAGGAACCATCCCGAGAGGAACTGGAGAGGGATAAGGCCGCCTCCGTCCGACAAGAACAGCTGCTGTTCGAGTGTTTCGGAAAACGACGAAGCTCATGTTGTTGATCAGGTCAAGGGCTCGGTTTCTGATATTTTGAAATCACTTCCAAACTGGAAGACCAACACCTTCAAACGAGATTCCGATCACGGCGATGATGACGACGAAGAAATACCCGAGGCTGCTTATTGTCTAATGAAGCTATCCCGAGGTGATTCATTTGATTTTGATCGATTTAAGACCCCATTGAAGCTTGAGGAAGAACAGGTTGATGAAAAACCTAGCGTTTACCCTAAAAACCCTAGTGGAGAACAATTGTTGACAAACAGCAAGGTTTGTTCATCAAAAACACTGCTGGATTTTGATTTGAATGAACCTTACGTTGAGGAAATTGATGGTGAGGCTTAGATAATGGTTCTGATTATGGATTTAGCTTGTTTTTTAAGAACAGATTTCTGGGTTTCAGCTACCATTTTCTTTTTATTACATGTCTGGTTCTTGTTTTTTTCAAAGATCTTTTAGGTTTCTCAAATTGGATTTGTGACTGAAACCCATTTTGTTTACTCTTGTTTTCTGCATAATTTAGTTGCTGTCAATTACTCTTGTTGGCATTTATCATTATGAATCAAGCTGTTCTTCTATCTGTTCATGTATATATTATATATTTCTTGAATCTATGATCTGTACATGCTAGTTTGATGTTTTTCACTGAGTTTATGATCTGTATATGTAAAGACATGCATTTTCATTAATCTTGCATGATAATCAATAAGAGATGATTGCGAATAGGGTTGAGTTGAATTTTCAGCCAATCCAATCTGACCCGCGAAGCATGTCCCTTGTAGTCAAATCAAGCTCAATTTAAATTTATGGAGGTCTCATTCGACTCAAATTCGATTTGTATTTTGAGTTAAAACCCATATTTGACTCAATCTAATAAAAACATAAAATATTATATTTTTATTTGATAAAATAAGGACCTAATTAGAATTATGTATTCGATGATAGTTGAATGAATGGCTTGAAGGAATATCTTGAGGTAAAAATCTAATCAGGAACATGAAGCTAATTTTGAGGTAAAAATATTTCTCATATTTTATGAAATCCACGTTATAATATGGATTCAAAAAACTAAAATAAATAATTTTAACCTTTAAAAAAAGAAAATGGATTCTTAAATCCCTTTCAAGGTATTGCAGAAGAGAAAACTATAAAATCTGGTTTAATTTACCATGATCGATTAGTCCATAGGTTGATTAATCATATTCTGAAAAAGAAAGCATAAATAGAAGTGAATTAGTAAAGGGAGTTAATTAGTAAGATTTGTTTGGCTTCCCATAAAATGGTTTTAAAATTGATTCTTGTGTTTCTCTGTTTTGATATACTTTCCAATAATAAAAAATTATCCCAAACAATTTAACCAAAAAAATGGTAATTAATTAATTATTTGTTCCCATTATGCATATTTTAGATTTTTTTAAAACCAGATTTTTTTTATATGATATATAATTTTTAATAAATATGGGAAGAAATTTTCAACTTTTTTTTTACATATATTGTATTTTTATTTTTGATAAATATAATATTTATGTTTTAATGGTTGTTTTTAAATTTATGAAATCTTAAAGGTGTGCTTGGATAGAGAATTTTAAAATTTTGGAGTTTTTTTAAAAATGTTAATAGTTCAAAATGCTTCATTTGAAAATTTTGGATAAATAATTATTTTATAAATATTCAAAATGTATAAGTTTGAAAATGAATTGTAACATCCCAAACAACGAGTTAGTGACTAAATTGTAAAAATTAAGAATTTGGTGATTAAGGTAGAATAATTGAATAGTTCAAAAATGATTGTTAGTAAATATGAAATGAATTAAAGGACAAAATGATCCTCTGCAAGGAAAAATAATTAAAAATTTGGATGGGTTTATATTAACCCACGTGAAAGAGGAAAGGAAGGCAAAATTGGTTCCAAGTTCTATTTCTCTTCTTCTCCTTGTTTTCCTCTTCTTCACGGTGGCTTTGGCTACAAGGTAAGTTGGATTTTTATGGTTAATTTCTGGAATTTTAAAGAGGGTTTGGATTGTTTGGATGTTATATAAGCTAAAGGAAAGCTTATATGGCGTTAAAACAATAAGATATGTGTTTTAGAGATAGATTTCAAAAATGAGTTTTTAGATGAAATTTTGATATGGATGAGTTTTTGAAGTTTGAATAAGATTTTTAACTTGTCAAGAGGTTAATTAAGGAATATGCAGTGTTAGAATTGATTAATAACATGTTTGAAATTTGGGTATGATTCTTAGTTTTAAGAATTTGAATGAAGTATTGAAGATAATAAAGTGTTGAAATGATAGAAGTTAGTTAAAATGGTTGTAGTTAAGTTTTGGTGGTATGAAAGGAACTTTGTATGAGAAAATTTAGTGAAGAGTTGATAATTTTCGGATTTGAACAGTAAAATTTATAGATTATGCATAGGAAACCGATACCCCCTGGGGGGAATCGATTCCCCCTAAAGGAAAAGGTTGAAGTTTGGTTATTAAATTAGTCTAAGTTGTTAGTATCAAATTACAAGGGTTAGGCTTCTGATAACCATCATGAAAATTATGTTTATGTAGATATAGAACGTAATCTTGTTCCGGAACAATCAAAGAGTTAGGATTGAATCAACGAAAGCAAGGCCAAGGTGAGTGCATATTATAAGTATAGTACAATGAAATAAGACTTGTGATAAGTATAATTCCTATGTTGATTTTTATAGTACAATAGTTATGAACATGCATACATGATAATTATTATAATACATGCATAAGGTATATATGTTCATATGATTTGATAAATGATATATGTGAATAGATTCAAATGCACGTGTGATGTAATAAGTGATATGAGCTATGCGATCACAAGAGAAATGACATGAGCACATGAACATATGAAACATAAGAATAATGCTCATAATATACGATATGAGAGCTATATGTATAGTTGGCATGCCAAGAGTCGAGGTTTTCATAGGTCATTCGGGACAACTAATAGGTCCTTCGGGACATATTCACAGGTCCTTCGGGACAAACTTCATATGCCACTCAGTGGGACTTATACGAGCTGTGGTGACAGTAATAGTGCACAACCTCAATGTACTCGAATACCTTGAGTTCTCAGTAATGTACATGGGCTTATAAAATGTTATCAAAGGTAATTGCATTATTATTGTTGTATGTTACCATATTGAATTACATGTTATATGATTGAATGGATAGATTGCATGTTCATATTCATAAGGAATGCATCATTATTATATTTATATGCCTCACTAAGTCTATGACTTAACGTGTAAGTGATTTACACGTAGGTACAGAAAAGTAAGAAGATTGATCCTAAGAGCAGCAACGCATCATACCATCATTAGAAGATCAGATCAGAAGTAAACAACAAAGTATGTATTTTAGTTGTATAAAGTGTGTTGGCATGTTATAAGTTGTTAGTTACGAACACTCTGATCGACTTTTCTAATGTTTTAAACGTATTTATATGTAAAAATAAATGCAAAATAATGAACGGTTATATTTTTACGAGTTTTAAGTAAGTTTTACGAAATCACTGTAGTAGCACTGTAGCAGTGCATCGATGCACAATTTGTATTCGAAGTTTTTATGCATATGTGCACTGTAGCAATGCATCGATGCACTGTAGCAATGCATCGATGCACTGCAGCAATGCATCGATGCACTGTAGCATTGTACACTATACACTGTTCATAAAAAAATATATTTTCTTAAATTAGTTGTAACGAACATAATTAGATAGTATACTATCGTATTTTCTTAATATGAATTCAAATGTTTTGTTATTTTGTAAGACACGTGTTTTAAAAAGTTAATGTGATATCTCATATTCGTATCCGGGTCGGGTACGGGTTGGGGTGTTACATGAATTGTGAAAAATCAAGAACATTAATAAAAAATAATATAATAATATGCCATTTTGATATCATTAATTCATTATATTTATAAAATATATAAAAAAATTTAATAATATAAAAATTAGAATTAAATAAAATTATATTTTATTTTTCAATTTTTATAGTGAACTGGATATATTAAATGAGATAATATTGATATTTGGGAAGTATTTTAAATAATCATATATTTAGATTAGATTTAAATAAGTGATTTGGACTAATAATTTAAAAAAAAATTAAATTCTCTATTATTTCCACCCCGAACAAGAAATATTATTTTTAAAATTTAAAATTTTTAATAAAAATGAATTTTATGTAAAATGAGATCAATTTTTTTAATAAAGAAGAGAAACTAGACAGCTAAACTAAATTGCATTGCTATGCAGCAAAACACATCGAGCATCACCATTGACGAGCTACCACTTGATCCCGAACCAAAATCAACCGCATACAAAATTAGGGATGGTATTTAACCCAAATTCGACTCTATAAATTGGTTTTTTATTTTAAAAAAAAGGGTTCGGATTGGGTTGAGTTTCTTAAAGGATAATTTTAGGTGAGGTCAGGTTTGGGTTTAGGGTGTAAAATACTCGATTCGATTCGATTAAGAAAAAAATAATATAACTAATCTTAATATATATTTAGAGATAATTACTATAATATCTCTTTAAATTATTTCAGTTAGATCTAGATTTCATATAACGAAAAATGAGAATTACATATATGTCAGGTTGGGTGTAAAATTTTATCTTAAAAATTGATTCACATTTCATGTTGGGTGGAGCTTCCTTACCTTGGATCGAGTGACAGGTGGACGATATTATACTCTGGTCATATACATGTAGGCTAAAAACTTGATCCAACTCAACCCATGATCATGCATATGCATAGCACGTTATATATTAATCAACTATAAGTTCAATAGTATAATAATATTTAAAAAATCTAAAATATGATCCAAAATTTTCTTATCTAGAAACTCGTATTTTGTTTAATTTGCTCATAGAAGGATTCGAATGTTACAATTGATAAATAAAATGATTTAATTGTACTTTTATGAAATATAGTGACTTAATTGTAAATTTACTTATAATATAGTGACATATGTTGTAATTTACCGATGTCTTACAATAATAGTTATATTTTATAAATTATTATTATTTTGATTAGTATGAAATGATTAAAATATAGTATATGTTCAAAATAATATCAAATTCAAATACTACTATAAAACAATGTGCTTCACAAATATATAGAAATAATAAGAGTTAATTACATTATATATCCCAAATTATGACCCTCATTTTAAATTAGTTCATAAATTTTTTAACATTCTAATTTTATCTCAAAACTATGATCATAATTCTAAATTGGTCCCAAACTTTTAAACATTCCAAATTCATCCCCAAACTATTACCCTCATTCTATATTGATCCCAAAACTTTTGAATTCTCTATTTTCATCCCTAAACTTTTGAATGATTAAGGGGAATGTTATTGGAATGTTCAAATCTTTAGGGACCAAATTAGAATGAGAGTCATAGTTTGAGTATGAAATTGGGATGTTCAAAAGTTTAAGGAAAAATTATAATGTGAGTCATAATTTGAGAATGAAATTGGAAGTTTAAAAGTTTAATGATCAATTTAGAATGAGAGTTCTAATTTGAGGATGTATGATATAATTAACTCAAATAATAATTATCCCTTTAATCGAACAAATATATTTTATCGATTGGTCAAACTATTCATCTTTAATTTCTTATATTCCCTTAAATAATGATTTTAGACTAAAAGCATTTTTATTCCTTCCCTGAAATCTTTTTTTTTCTCTTTTTAGATAAAATTAAAATTAAAATTTATTAAAAATATAATTATTTCTTTAACTACTAAATTCAATTATTATGGCATGTTTTACAAATTACAACAGGTGGGAAAGTTGACCGCATTTACAGAGGTAAAATGTTGTAAATTCATAAAAAAGACTAAAAGAGGGGTTTCCTTCTTCGTCAGCAGCTTTGAAATAAGACCTAACGAGTCGTCAACTTCGAGTCGGTTGACTCAGTTGAAGAGCAACTTCTGCACTACAATTTCAGCGAGCCGGAAAACAAAAGTATGGAAGCTGCGCCCGACGGAGACGAATCATCGGGGAGCATTGAAACCCTAAACTCATTTTACTCCGAATATCTGAGCAACCGATTCTCCTCTTTGTTTTATTCTTTTCCGTCAAATTTTCTCGAGAAAATCTCAAATCTGTCTCGCCAAACGCTTCTTCCTATCTCTACTAAACGCAGAGATGGTTTCCCTCTCCCTTTGCCTTCCAGCTCAGTCGACTCCACTCGGTACACGATCTTCACCTCTCTCTTTTTTCCCATTTTCATTCATTTTTTAATTAATAGAAATGAATTTTGATTTTGATTTTTTTTCTCATCCAGGACGACACCAGTGGCATCGAGAATTTATGAAGTTTTAAATGATATAATGGATCGCTTCATTTTGAATTTGCATAAAATTCAAGAGAATTTGCAATTTTGGCTAGCTATAGCTGAGGTAATGCACTTTGACTTAGTTTGATTTTTAAGTTTTTTTGGTTAATAAAATTTCTGAATTTACTTGTTAGATATGCAGTTTTTCTTAATGCAGCTTTGTCTATAACATATTAATCATAGAAAAATAAAATCATTATTCAGTTCTTACTAAATATTGTTTTCCATTTTTATTCACCGTTCGCAATGGCGATAACTGTTTGTTTTCCATTTCTAGCCCATTAGTGCACTACCTCGGGCCAACAATCATATGCCTCACTGTACTGTTTGAATCAGTTTTTGTTTTCTTATCAGCCTTTAACTGCCTGAGCACATCTACTTCCAGAAATGAAATAACTCTAGCAAAAGCATCCTGTTGATACTGAAGAGTATATTTCTTGTTTGTGCGATTTAGTGTGTATCCTAATTTTCTTGAAATTTTTTAGAGATCTAATGCAAGGAAAGTTTACTTCATGATTTTCGAGAGAGGGCCACAATCTTTTGTTAATGGATCAGTTCAACTCATGCGTGAAGCTTTCACTGAAGGATTGGCAATGCAAAACCTTTCCCATTCTGCATCTGTGTACATCTCTGAAAGGATTGCCGTCTTATCTTCACTAAGGTGTTCACTTGCTGCTTTTCTGGCTCAGGTTTGTTCCATCTTATTCTGGTTCTGTACTGTCATGATACATGTTAACCTTGATAAGGAAGCCTGTAATCTGCTGACACACTTCACAAACGTATCCTTTTTTTCTCACTCAAAAGTCAAACCTCCAAAACCCATAGATAGACTTGACACTAGGAATGTAGTAGTGAAGCATGATAACTGTAAATATTAGCATTGTTTTTTTTTTGTCAGACATGAATTATCAAGGATTCATTGCTTGTTTTCTTGAATAGTTTTATGTAGATGTTGACAAATGTGGAGAGGAGTTGGTAAAAGATCCAGAGAAGTCATTTCCCTCAATAGCATGCACTCTTAATAGCTTATTTTCTAAGTTGGAGGCATCAATTGGCCATCTTCATACGCTGCGTCAGGTATATATTTCTATATGGAGCATTTCAGACTTGCTGCTATGATTAGCTTGCTAAGAACTTGTATGTCCCAATTTTCATGTAAACACTATGCAGAGCGGTTCTTCCGTTGATGAAACCTATTCCTTTGCTCTACTATTTGAAAGATTGCCAGAACTCAATCGGGAAGAGTCTCAATGGTCAAATTCTGAAATTAATGATTCTATCAACTTGGTTTGTCAGAATCTACAGGAACTGGACTCTTACTTAGCTTTCATGGTAATGATCCTTTTATCTTTAGTCCTTGTCATAATAAAACTGACATTTTTTATTAACCATTGACTGGCTTGTTTGTTGACGATTCTTGCATTTGATCTTCAATATAGTTTTGGATTTGTTGCTTATTTTCATACCTTGCTCTTAGGTAGCTAAACACCAAAAACCAAGTAAAGCAACTCGTTACTGGATTCGGTATACCTGTGGTGCTGTTGGCCTTTCAGTTTGTTCTTTCTGGCTCCTACGACATAGTCGTCTGATGGGAAGTTCTGACATAGACAATTGGATTCATGAAGCAAGGGAGTCTACAGTTAGCTTCTTTAATGACCATGTTGAGCAACCGGTACGCTGCATTGTGCTAATCTGATTGCTCAGTTGTTTTTACTTCTCCTCCTGAAAATCTTGAATTGGCCATTTTTATGAATGCTTGAGAATGCAGCAACCGATTTCATTGATGTTAAACTCAATTTATCTTCAGCTTTTGGCAATTAGAGATGAACTTTTGGATACATTTAAGAAAAGACAGAAAGGTGTGATGGATATGCAGGAAATGCACTTGACTTCAAATTCTCTCCACAGGTTAAATTCTTTCTGCCGATTTGTATTCATGAATAAGATTAGTAGCAAGGGCATTGTTAGATGTGATTTCTTTGGTCCCTTTCTTTTTTTACATCTATGAATGAAGTATATGCCTATGTGAAACTACATGGTTCTGAGTTCTAGGCAGCTAGATTATTTAGAATTAAGATAAAATTCTTTTAATATATCTAACGGGCCTAACCATGTTACTAGAAGTAAAATTGGGTGCGGCTGAAGTTTAAGGATAAAGAAGGGCTAGTGTGTAGCTCAAAGACCAATGGGCCTCCATATGTAAAAAAACGATGGGTACTCATCACTCTAATCTTTGCTTGAGATATCAAAAACAAAGGAAGTTGGATTCTAGGTTGTTTGAAGTTTGTTTTATTTGGCTTTAAATTACTATTTGATCTCCTTTTTTCTATGGTGATTGGATGTAATGAAGTTCTTTTCATTCAAGGGTAATTGCTATATTATTGAAAGCCATAGCTGCTTCCATGGTTTGCAGAATGTTATTGGCATTCAGTGAGGAAACCAAAGGTACAAAATTCCCAGAGAGTGCATCAGATCAGGAAATGCTTGAGATTGTTATGTTAAGGTGCGACTTTCTTTCTAATATTATGGTAGCACTAGTCATGTTTGCACTTAATGACTTATGATGCACACCTTACGTGTAAAATTTGAACTTACACTTTACGTGTAAAATTTGAACTTGTTCTTTTGTTCGGTATTTTACCTTTATGAAAGCTTCAGGCACAAAGTTGCTTTAGATAAAAAACACAAGTAATAATAAGTTTTATAGATGCAAATACATAAGAAATCTAGGATTCTCGATTTCATGCTTTTCTGTTCATACTTGGACAATATTTCAGAATAAGTATGTTCCTTTGATTGCTAATCTGATATATTGCTTTTACTGAATTGCCATGCTGTGCTGTATATCTCTTAAGTGTGCCAAAATTCTTCTTTGAGAGACTCTAATTCATTGGGATTTATAAGATATGAAAAGGAACTTATGCATCCTATCCAGAATCTTCTCCATGGAGAGCTTGCTCGCTCTGCTCATCCAGGTAATGCTTGTTTTTACGACACAGTTGCTGCCTTTTGTTCTGGTTGCATAACCTTATGCTTTTCCAGTGCAGGTTCAGAAGTTGAAACTGGATGTTGAGATGTATGTTCAACACCATCTTTTTCCTACCTACATAGTTGCATTCTAGTTTATTTCAATTCTCAATGTTCTTACTTCTTAAGGTGCTCATTGAACTAGGGCAATGCTTGAACTGGATCAGATTCTCAGAGCAAATGAAATCAACTTTGCAATCCTAGCTGCCTTGCCAGCATTCTTTCTGTCTCTTGGTCTGATTGTAGCCGTGCGTGCATGGTTTAGACAGGTTTGAACACTTTCAAGCTATACAATATGTTACCCAATTAATTTTCTTTAGTGAATTCTGTTTGCTGATGACTACTTGAAGAGACAAGATGCTAGGTTAGTGATGGCACTGTGTAGATGGTTATACAAGTTTGTATTGCTACACTATCAATTCAACCTTGAACTTGTAGCATATATATATACGCCTTCTAAATGGTTCTGTCTCTTGGTTTGATCGTGGTCGTGCTTGCATGGTCTAGACAGGTTTGAACACTATACAAATTTATATTGCCACGCTTTCAATTCAACCTTGAACCTCCAGCATATAAATGCCTTTGAAGTTTAGTGTATTTGACTGTCGGTTTCTTTGTCTAGAGTGACCAAAGCTAAAGTTCCATCAAAGAGCATTTCCACGGCGTTCCATTAAACAAATTCTTCTTTCTTTTGTGTTTCTCATGCACTTGATTATCTGGTTTTGTTATTGTATTCAGGACACTAAAGCAGAAGGCAGGGGGAGAATTGCTCGTATCCAAAGGAGGCTACTTATTGTGGAGGTTGAGAAAACAATTTTGCAGTACCAGATTTACCTTGACCAAGGGATGGTAAGAACCTCACTTTCGGTTTGGGGCTTGGATGCTCCTGATTAATTTCTCTTTTCCCCTCATCCTCATAGGCTTCATTTTTTTTATTTAACATCATTTGAAAAGCAAAGGGCCTCGATCAAATTTAGATTCTGGCTTAGCCATTTTCAAGATCTTGACTTTATTTGCATTCTCAACCGAGACCAAGTTATAACTAGCTTTAATGGCCTTGAGGTAAGGTTGGAGATCGAGTCAATTGGAAGCATCTTTCTCTGTTGTCATTGGCTCCTAGTTTTTATTTTGTTTTTTTTTCTTTCTGAAAGCATCTTTGCCCTCCATCCTTTTCCCATTGATCCCTCTCTAATAATCAGTATATCATCTGTTAGCCGGTGTGATTTAATGTGCTCGATATTTGTGCATTTGTGTTTCCATAGGTTAGGCACCAAGAACGAAGCTTGATCTGTTAGAAGAACCTTTATTTGGTTCAAAAGCTCTATGTACTTTTACTTTACTGCATTTGGTCTCTCTGGTGACAGATTACAGTACCTCTGATCTGCAACTCTTTCTGAAATTCCTTTTGCTTTGACTCGATGATGCACATCACTAGCTCTTACCACATCTATGATCCAAAGGGTGAAAAAAGATGTAACATATTAATGCTCTCTTTCGCAGGAAAACGATTCCCAATGCATGTTCGGGCTGTTGATTTATTGTCTAGATCGCTTATAATTCTGTCAGAAGACATGCAGAGGCAGCTGGTGAATGGCAGTGGTTAGTTGATTCATCTATTTCTCAAATGATTTGAAAGTTAAAACTGCTTTGCCGTCTTGTACTCTCGTTTCAGCTTTTCTGTTGTAGAATGATGAAGTTGAACCAAAGATAGCAACTAACAGATAATATAACTGTGATGAACAGCTTGAAACAGGATATAATTGATTTGGGAAAGCCTGGTCTTCAAACTTCTCACAAGCTAATTGTGACGGCACGAATGGAACGCTTGTACGACTGTTTGCTTCCTTCCCAAAAACGTCAATAGATCTTTACCTTTTGTCCAAAGGGCTAATGCAAAACTTCCTTGGCCTTCTTGAATTGTCGTCGGTTCAAATTTTGTAGGGCATTGCTTCATTTTGGTAAACGGCTAAGGTTTGGTGCGAATTTTCGCTATGTTACTCGGATTCAGATGTGAATGTCATAATCAAATATATGTTCAACATGGGTATGCCAGTTTTTAGGTCACGTCTTAATGCCCATGTGTGAATGTGTCTAAAATGGTCCCGAACACGAAGACCACTCTTTTTTTAATGAATTTTTGTGGGGTGGGCAAGTTATTCAAGTGAAACGTTATTTGAATCGAGTTTTTATTTGAAAATTCGCGATCAAATAAATTCTTAAAATTGAATTATCGTTTGAAAGTTTTATAGTCAAATATTAGAAGTTCGTGAATTTTAAAACTAAAGTTCAATTGAGATAATGTGGGGATTTATTTGATAATCGTCTGCACTAATAAAAATGTATATAAATAAATTATACAGGTCAAGTGGTAGGAAGATTGATGTTTTCTGGTTTAGTTTTGGATTTGGATATTGTAAACGAAGAAAGTAAGTGTTAAAAGAAATTTGCTCTTTGATTAGGGTCTGAGTTAACTCGGCTGTTTTTTAGTATGTTTTTGGATTTGAATATATAAAATTTTAATTTATCATTAGATTTGAGTACTATCATTTCAAAAGATATCTTGTATTTAAAGGTATTTATCATGAAATAAGTTCTTCTTCTTCTTCTTCTTCTTTTAATATTTGACTTCGTGTTAAGCGGGTAACGTGACCTTTGGAGGAGTCTACAATTATAAAAGAACAAAGCTTTCTATTATTGAAGTCTATGCCAAGGAAACAACTTCCAAAATTCAAACCCTAAATTTTAAGTTAATATTGTATAATATAAATCATAGTATAAACTCTGACGGTGGTGTAAAAACAATTAAAACGAGATAAATATAGGAATAGTTTTTGAATATTCTGAGGAGATTATAAGGGGAAATCATTTCTGCTCAGCCAAAGAGATGATTTCGGTAGCTCCAACTTTCTTCCTCAAGTTGGTAGTTAACTTGACAGCATCGAATCCCTCTCCAATCACCACCACCTTGTCTCTCATTACCTTCTAATCCAACAAAGTTCCCCTGTTTATTCATTTCATAATCCGTGTTACGAAATTCGAGTCATAAACCCTAACGACGCGAAATAAAATAGTAGAGAACGTATGCATATCACTTACCCTCTTGTTTGCAGCCACCTTGAGTGCCTGGGTCCTGCATTTTTGGCACTTCATGCTCACTCTCAACCACTTTTTGCTGCGTATTAAACACGAGGGTCGGATACGTTCGAATAAATAATTCCTTGCTAAACCAAAAATTAAAAAAAAAAAGGTATTTACCTTCATATTGTTGCTTCTTCTTGAATGGAGAGGATATGAAACTCAGCAGCTGAGAAGGAACAATGAGTTTAGATACAATAATTCCTCGTTTATATAGTGAAATGCCGTGACTTGATCCTCAAGTTTCCTTAAATTTCTGCTGTAGAATTGGAAGAAGAAAAAAAATGAAGTATTGAAGAAGTTTCATGTCATTTTCTGGGATTCTTCTGTTCACAACCATAATCTACGTTAGTCTTAAAAGTCTAGACCCAGTCATTCCATCAATTTTTCAAACCAAAAGTAACATATTCATGATGATTTAAGGGGAAAATTTTAGGCATGATATTAAAATTAGTCCCCCGACATTTATCAAGATGGTCATTTTGGCCCCTATTCCTTTTTTTTTTGGGAGTATTTTGACCCCCGATGTTTCATTTTAGGGAAAAAAATGCCCTTAACATCTGAGAAAATTGTCATTTTGACCCTAAATTCTCTTTTTTTTTTGTGTGTGAAAATTTTTGGCCTTTAATATTTTATTTTAAGGTAAAAAAACCCCATTTGGAGCATTAATCGTGTGTTAACAGACAATTTTCATCTATATATTTTTGCCCCAAAATGAAAGGTTGGGTTCAAAATACTCCCGAAAAAAGAATAAGGACAAAAATGACCGTTTTAATAAATATGGGGGTGGGGCTAATTTTAGTTTTACGCCAAAATTTTACTTGTTTTTATTGAAACCGGTTAATAGGGGGGGAAATATGTTATTAGAGTTTGTGACTTCGATTCTATTTGGATTAGCTTGGATAGAGTTATTATGTCCGTAAAACAATAGTGAAATCATCCATTACCGCACAACTAGTGATGCTGAATTACGAAAACTCTTAATTACGAAACGATATGTGACACTACAATCATTTTATTCATGCTGTACAAGTTATGATACATTTGTATGTCTATCATCCATTCGTACTATACTTTATTATATTACTTCAGTCCAAAACTTTATTTTATTTTATAAACAATATCTCAAATTACGAAGCTCATAATAAGGGAATGGTGAATTACAAATAAAGGTTTAATAGTATTGGACATTATCTAAACAGAAAGAAGATAAATACTACAATGTTAATAAATATGTATATATATATATATATTGTGGAAAATTATTGTTAAAATGTACCCATTTCACACACTAGTCCATGTCAATGCATAGGGATTTTGTGGAACAACATGCCATGGACAGCTGGGAAGACTACAGGGTTATATTAAGTCAACTTTCAGGTCTCCTTGTTAAACATATTTAAAATTTGACTTCACTTACCATTCATTGTATCGGTGCAGTTTCTATACAATTTCTTTATTAATGCAACCACATGTTAGTTGATCGAATTTTATTCAGAATTTGTACGAAGAGAACTTAGCCTTCTCCGTTTAAAACATTAAATATAAACACCTAACATTCCTTACAAGACCTAACACTTGGTCTCCTAGATCAATAATAAAATTTAGGATAAACTATACTTTAATACCTAAACCTTTTTTTATAATTATACCCAACGTTTAGTTTGGTATTCGCCGTTAAAAAACTTAACAAATTACTAACTTTATATGTTTCATTTTTTCATAATAACATAACATTACCTTACGGTGACACGTTAACATCAATGTTAAATTTTTATGGTAGAATATCAAAATGAAACATAAACTAAACATTGAAATGAATGATTTTGAAGAAAAATAAAGTTTAGGTACTAAAATAAAACAAAAGTAATAGCTTAGGTACTAAACTTGTAGTTTACCCTAAAATATAAAAAAAATGAAAAAAAGAGGCAAAACTGGGCTTAAGTCTGTGTATATATTATCATCCGGTAGTCAATGAAAGATACATAGGGTTGAGTTCAAGAAACAAAAAAAGTTATTTAGAAAGCAACTAAAATGGGAGCAGCAGAGGACAATACACTGGCCTTTCCTTTCAACTCGCCAACATATCACATTTTACAAGCAATCCAGCAGTTCCTGAGAAGTATGTCTCGAAAGCAAAAACAAGATGTCGGTCGCTAGTCGATGACCGAAAAGGCATTTTCTCGAGCAATTCGCGGGATGCAGCTTTCGCTCATTTCTCTTTTCTAGCCAAAGATTCTGCCTTATACTCGCTTCCGGCAGAGACGACAAAACCTGCCCCGACCTATAAGAAGCACAATGTGATCACCATGGATACGGATACTAAATGGTACGAATAACAATTTGACACTTTAAGTGTGTGCGAAGTTTACGGAAGAGCTTTCGAGAATTACTTGGCAATCTTTCAAAACAACGCGGTCTTGAAGCTGTACATTGCTACAAACAACAGAACCCTGGATTATACAGCCATCGCCAATAGTGACATGATTCATTACAACTGAATTGACAACCTGCATATGCAATGAAAGAAATTTTCAAGTTACAACAGGAAACAATTACCAAAGCTCGAAACGGTTAATTTTCATAAATGAAGAAACCGCAAGAAGCAAGTTTTACACACTCTCAGGTACTTTCTGCTTTACCTTAGTTAAGGTAAGAGAAATCATCATACCTTCACATGGGAACGTATCCGGCAGTGACGGCCAATGACAGACCGTTTTACTTGGCATTTGTCACCGACTTCCGAACCTTCACCCAGCATGCAGTGCGGCCCCTAATCTATAGAAAGATTTATAAAGCATTGATATTATCCAACTGATTTTAGAAAATTCTAACAGTATGTGTGGATGAAGTAGGCTCACAGTAGTTTTGGTTCCAAGCTTTGGTGGACCTATGTTATAATTGGGATCTGATGAGGTGCCACTTAGCAGATGATCCGCCTCACCAGTAACCTGAAACATTAGTAAGAGAAACAAGCCAACCAGACAGACATAAAACGTGGACTAAAAACACAAAATGGCAAACAAGAAAAAGCATAAATGTGAAATACAACTCACATCTCGATTGATGTCCATAAATGCTTGAATGTAATTCAAGCGCACACAATAACTGCTGCTACTTGCAATATAAGCACAGCATTTATGGGTTTTCCGATTAGGGGTAGAACCATCAGGATTCTCAGAACTGTGGTCATGAAAGCTTGGGATAGATGCATTGGCAAGGATTCGAGAGACAAATACTTGATTGTTCTGGGAAGTAACCTTCTCATTGCCATTTTCTTCTCCTTGCGGAGTCCTAGTTGATAAGGCCTCTGATTTCTGGTAATTATAAAAGAATCGGAACAAATGAGATTATTCTGGTCCACGTGTAGCTTTGGAATATTTGGACATTTAGTGATACTAACCAGCTGGCTCCGGACAAGATAAGGAAGTACATCCTCTTTCAAGCTTTGAAATGTATCCTTTAGGTCTAAAACTTCTTGCAGGATAGACCTGAGTGGAAATGCAACGAGGAATTATAACAAAAAAAAGGGGACCCCTGATCTCTAAGCAAGTAGGGATGGGGATGTCAAGTGGAGGGTACCAACCTCTTGAATGCATACATATGAGCATCCATCAGATCCGATCGAATTTCCATCTATATAAAATACAAAACAAAAATGAGGTTGACAAAAGAATATCTCAAATTTTAAGCCAATTGATGATCAAAAGGCAAAAGAGATAATATATGCATATACACACACATAGAGAGCAAGGGACGAGATATACATATGTACATAGAAAAAGAGTTATAAAGACAATAGATTTTACAAAATAATATATATATATACTTCAACCTTCACTTTTTAAATTTTTTGCCAAAAAGAATATTAGTAGCTTTAAATTAACAATCGAGCCTCAGACTTGTGTGTTGCAGCTCACAATGCCATCAGTAATCAATTTCATTATACTGGGCATCCATTGTCATTTGTTGGAGAGAGTGGTATAAGTACAGATTGATGGAAAGCAATATCTGGCCAACTGCACGGAGAATGCGCTTTGGAAGTCTAGCATCTTTCTCAATTTCAGCTCCTATAAAGCATTACAAGATTATATGCAAGGATCCAATAGAAGTAGCACACTGAATAGGAGAATGGAAAGCTAACCTGTTGCTATGTGTAATAAAAACTGTTTGCCAGGGTCCAGTCCGATGATGTTGTATCGTCCTAATTTCTTGGCTTTATCTTTTCCACCGGAGGATCCAGACTCTAGAGGTCCACTGACAGGAATAGAGCAAAGCGTTGCAGTCACTGCTGCATCATGTCGCCTGTGGGTGGCAGCAACTGCACCAGGAGGAACATCAGATACAAGATCACCACTCACAACCTGCATGGTGAATAAGCCACCATAAAGAAATTACTCCGTCAGGACTGAAACACTATTAACGAAACAAAATCTAACCAAAATATCTTTTGCGTGAGGTGATGTGAGAGTGCACGAATTGCTCCAGCTGTCCAATGTCCTCGGGGACTGCAGCAATCTGCAAAGTAAAAAAAGAGGAACTAATTTGTAGTCCTCATGAGAAAGGTTTATTTTCATTTTATTACTTTAACTTGTCCATTGTCTCCGAGTAGATGAAGCAAAAAAAATGCTACTCTAGTTCATTTTCATTACCTCAAATTCTTCAATAATTAAAATATAATTATACAAAAAATATATTATTTTTTTATATTCATATATTCCCATCATATTTATTATATGTGTTTGATTGTATTTAATATTATATTATTATAAAAAAAATAAACATAAATAAATATTGAAATGTTTAAAAACAATAAATTATTAAAATTTGAATTCAATATCCTAATTTAATTTTGAAAAAATAAAATTAAATTTGAGAACAACTATAGAACATCAATCTTCTTTGGAGGCTACATTGCCCAATGTTTCCAAATTAGTCCAACTTCATAGTTCAGTACATCTATTAGACGATTAATAAAAAAAACTCGAATTGGATCGAAGTCGATAATCGATACGGAAAAGAGTCCATAAGCTTAAAAGTGATTGCATGAACCAGCTGAATTAATCTCGGAATTTGATCGATTGTCTTTAATTAGCTTAGCTAGTGCTAGTATCAGCTGCTTCTTCCACCTTGACCTTGGCTTTGCAACAACCCTTATTATCATGTGCCTCGGTCTCAACCTTCCTTCGGCAAGATCCGCCATCCTTACTGAGTTCCGACCTACGCTCGAGAAATTCTGCATTCTCCTTCCAGACTTCTCCGTTAGAATAAACCTCCTTCTTCCAAATCGGAACAGATGCCTTCAACTCGTCGATCAAGAACTTGCATGCATCTAAAGCATCAGCACGATGAGTAGCCGATACTGCAACAAACACACTTGTCTCTCCTACAGGAACCGTGCCTAACCGGTGGACAACCGCAATAGAACGGAGATCCCAGGATGATCTAGCAGAGTAACAGATAGACTTGAGGTTACGAATAGCCATCGGTACGTATGCTTCGTATCTTAGTTCAACCACTGTTTTCCCTTCAAAAGTGTCGCGCGTTGTGCCGGAGAACGTGGCTATGGCACCAGCTTCTGGGACACTGACATAGTTTATGTACTTGGCAAGGTCGATCTTATTCTCATCTAAGATTTCAACAAGAGTTCTCTCCTCGGAATTCATTGCTGTTTTCGGAGCTTTTGTGGTTTAAACGGGTCTTTGTTCGGCACAGGAGTTAACGGAGCCCAGAATACAGTCTAGACACCAAGACAACATAATGTCAAGCACAATCAATAGACCAAACTAATCTACAAAACAAATCTAAATTAATCCAAGAAGGAACAAGATCATAAGTGACTAACAACATAACAACTTGATTCTACCAGGTCCAGATTAATAGACGACGGACACCTATATCGGACATGGGTTGAGGGTTTCATCCTCAACACAAATGAAATAATTTAGGGGGAAAACAGGTATTATTAGACATATATTCATATCAGATGCTCATCTTAATCTGAAAATATAAATCGCAATTCGCCACTCCTAAAACAACGTAATAAGATATAGTCTTCTACTGTTTTAGCATGGACAAAATCATAAGTGAACTAACAACATATACAGCTTGATTCTACCAGGTTCGGATTAATAGACGGCCGAGTATCATGCCGGACACCTCTATCGGACGGGGATTGAGGGTCTCCTCCTCAACATAAATGAAACAATTTACGGGGGGAAAAGCATGCATTCTTAGACATATATTCATATCAGATGTTCATCTTAATCCGAAAATGTAAATTGCAATTTGTCACCTATAAACCAACGTGATTCGATAGAGTAGTCTTCTACTGTTTTGTTTAGCATGAACAAAATATAATTAATTGGAATGTATTTCCGAAATTTATATTCGTATAAATATGATTTTGCCAATAGAATCATTAGTTTTACTAAATCGCTAGGGTTCCTCAATCGGAAACGAAAATTGCCGCGGAAGCAGCGATTTCCGATCACAAACAAAGGCTTAGGTGAGGGGAAAGTAATGAAGTAGTGGGATTCTTCAAAATTCCAAAAAAAATCGCCACAGTAATTAAACACAAGTAATTCATTTGTCAAAACAAGAACTAAACCAAATCCCTAAAAGAAAAGGGGGAAAAGGGTCAACAGAGTAGCCAAAGAAACATATCAAACAATGGAAAATTCAGCTCCAGCAAATTTCAGAAAGGAAGAAGAGAGAAAAACCAATAACTGAGACGATTAAAAACAAAGTCCAAAAGGAAAGCATAGTTCAGATTACCTCGAGAAGGAGTGGGAAGATTAGCTGTTGCTCATGAGCGAAAGTAAACGATAAAGAGAGAGAGAGAGACAAAACAGATATAACAAAATCAAGGAGAAGACAAAAGGCAAAAAACAGAAGATTTAAATCCGTGATAATTAAGGGTAAATTACGTCTCATCATTCAACTTTCTTCTAATATTCTATTTTGATCGCTTAAGTTTAAATATTTTTAATTTAATCATTTAATTTGTGAATCGCTAATACTTTGACCACTCTACCTTAATTAATGACATTATGACATGGTAATTTACACCAATATGATGCCATTTTGAATCTTTATAAAAAAAAATTTAAATTTAGACCAAAACAATATCATTTTAAATCTTTATAAAAATTATTTTCCCTTTGTTCTTCAATTTTTCATTTTTCTTTCTTCTTTCTCTCTTTATCTTTCTCAATTTGAACTGAACTCTATTTCGACCAACGTTCGAATCACCACCAACCACCGTTTGGAGGTCAATGAGTCCTAAAATTTCTAATTAAACTAGTCTTGTTCTTCTGAACATGAATTTAATATTAGTTTAACCGAAAAATACTCTAAACTTCACGAATATGCTGCTCAAAAACTTTAATCTATTAAATTACCACAGTTCGATATCATTTTCGACCAACAATAGTACCATTCAACTCATCTTTTTTTCATATACAAGTATTTCGGTTTAAGAGACGGTTTAACTTTTGACTCTCTTTTATCGATCTCAATATTTGACATTCAAATCACTACAATTTTAAAATAAATTATTCTCCTTATGGATGTCCATCTTATCTTTTCATCTTAGGGATTCTCCATTTAACCATTAGAGCGTTGATGTGATAAGGATGTATAGATTCGAGTGAAATATAGGGCGGGGGGGGGGAAACAATCTAAAAAATTTGAGTTTAAGGGTATGTTTGTTTAGCTGTAATTGGTTTTTCAGAAAATGAATTACTGAAATTTGAATTACTGGAATTTGAATTACTGGAAAATGAATTACTGGAATTTGAATTCTGGAAAATGAATTACATTTCTGTAAAATGAATTACATTTCTGTAAAATGAATTACATTTCTGGAAAATGAATTACATTTCTGGAAAACATCTGGAAAACGTTTCATGATGTTTGGAAGATGTTATTTAAACATTTTTTCGGTATATTTTAGTGAAATAAAATTTTATAAATTATTAATTATTTATTAAAGTAATAGTACTATTATATTTTAAAATATAATTAGTATATTTTAATATCTTTACTAAAATATTATTGAATATATAAATAATATTTCATTATTAAATATATAATTTTTTTATTTATATTATTATAATATAATTGATTATTTTATAATATTAAAATATAATATTATATTATATAAATATTAATAAATATATTTTAAATATTTTAATAATTAATATTTGATGAAAATGATATTAAAATATTTTATTAATATTAAATTCATAAAATAAAATTATTTTGAGTATTTTTGCTTTGAAGTGAAAAGTTTGGAAAATGACTTACGGAAATGAATCCGTAAGTCATTTTTACAGAAAAAACACAAAGGAAATTCTGTTACTAGGAAAATGAATTACATTCCGGAAAACGAATTACGTGAAACAAACACGGGAAAACGTTTTCCGGAAAACGAATTACGTGAAACAAACACGGGAAAACATTTTCCGGAAAACGAATTACGTGAAACAAACACGGGAATTCGGGGAAAACCAATCCGTAATTCCAATTACGGAAAACAAACAGACCCTAATTTTGAGTTTAACAAAATTTCTTCAAGGCCACTTCTTAAAAGTCTTGAAGTAACAAAATGAGATCAACCACTAAATTAACAACAAACACAGACACTTAGGGTCTGTTTGTTTAGCTGTAATTGGTTTTCCAGAAAATGAATTACTGGAATTTGAATTACTGGAAAATGAATTACTGGAATTTGAATTCTGAAAAATGAATTACATTTCTGTAAAATGAATTACATTTCTGGAAAATGAATTACATTTCTGTAAAATGAATTACATTTCTGTAAAATGAATTACATTTCTGGAAAATGAATTACATTTCTGGAAAACATCTGAAAAACGTTTCATGATGTTTGGAAGATGTTATTAAATATTTTTCGATATATTTTAGTGAAATAAAATTTATAAATTATTAATTATTTATTAAAGTAATAGTACTATATTATATTTTAAAATATTAATTAGTATATTTTAATATCTTTACTAAAATATTATTGAAATATATAAATAATATTATTCATTATTAAATATATAAATTTTTTATTATATATTATTATAATATAATTGATTATTTTATATAATATTATATTATTATAAATATTAATAAATATATTTAAATATTTAATAATTAATATTTTGATGAAAATGATATTAAAATATTTATTAATATTAAATTCATAAATAAAATTTTGAGTATTTTTGCTTTGAAGTGAAAAGTTTGGAAAATGACTTACGGAAAATGAATTCGTAAGTCATTTTACAGAAAACACAAAGGAAATTCTGTTATTAGGAAAATGAATTACATTCCGAAAAACGAATTACGTTAAACAAACACGGGAAAACGTTTTCCGGAAAACGAATTACGTGAAACAAACACGGGAAAACATTTTCCGGAAAACGAATTACGTGAAACAAACACGGGAATTCGGGGAAAACCAATCCGTAATTCCAATTACGGAAAACAAACAGACCCTTAACTTCAATTCATTCTTCTAATTAGCTCATTGATATAGTTCTCGCGGTTTCCGGCATCTCCGCCCTCAACGTAGTGGTTTCTCTTCTTCTTCAAACCGCCCAATGGCGCCTTCAGCTGGAAGGGCCAAAGGAAGTTGTTGGCCTCCTTAAAATGAGGTCCCACTGTCATGATCTCATGGATGAGATCTTCGACACAGATGATGCCGAATTTGCCAAGAGCCTGCAATCAGTACGAAAAAACAAGGATGCTCAAGAAACATTTGGCACCAAAAATGTAACCTGGTAAATGGAAACATATATAGACCTGCTCAACGATTGCATTGTCAGTCAAAGCAATTCTCTGATTCTTCAACTTCCCGTAACCTCTTTTGTAAATCAATTCCCTCACACTCTTGAGATTAGGGTATCTAAAAGAATATACCGATGAGAAATAAGACATGGTGAGTACGTATAAAAACTAGAATAAGGGAAAGCAAGGAAATGGGGAGAGCAAATTATACCCGTAAGTCACGTAAGGTTCAACAAGGTGAAGCATGTTCATTGTCGCCTTGTTTACTTTAAGGAAAACACCATTGAAGATCTGTGCATTTTGTGAAGAGCAAACATGACATTTTAGGTTCAGATAAGAAGCTATGCAAATCGATATTATGTTCACAATCAATAAGAAGCTACCACCACCTGTATTACTCAAGCTCAGCTGTGTTTCAAACACGGATAAGTCCATTTTCCCCCAATATTTTTCAGTCAATGGACAATCATGCTTTCATGCACACAACATACAAACAGGGAAAGTGGAAATCGAATATCATAACCAATATTACTCTTAGTTTAGGAAAAAGATTTGGTAAACTACCTGTCTCAATCGCAAGAGCTGCAAGATCTTTCTTGTCCTCGGGTGCATGGCATTGATACTGAAAAACATGAATTTACAACATGTCACTATTTAGAACTTATATTCGGAAAAAAAAATGTCACATTCAACACATACCACGAATTCGAACGATGAACAAAAGATTGGCTTCTGGATCAACATAGAATCCTCCTTTCAGCTTGGCCTCCCGCTTCAATTGAATCAACTCTTTCTCCTGAGAGTTGCAAGGAGCACAATATGATTCAGACGCTTGCAATATTTGATTAAAAAAAGTCTACATGAATGCAAACAGAAAACATCATGTTTACCTGAGCCTCGTACTCCTTTGCATATTGCTTGGCCCTATTGAAAATCAGTTGCGGTTCTCAACTTTCTTCTTCTTCGCGGCCTCAAGCTCCTGCTTCTTGACAAGCTCCCATTCTTCATTTCTCTTCTGCTTCTTCAAGAGTGATTCGGGAACCACTGCCTTAGCTTCCCTCACCCATCTCTGGTCAAAATTATATCAACCAAAACCAATCAAAAACAAGTCTTAAACATTTAACCAATGTCACCGGACTCGTCATCTCTATTAAAATATTTCAGTCCAACAAATCCAAACATGTATAATAGTTATGATCCTACAACATAATGAAAATTCGAGCATAATCCCAGAACTTACGTACTCGTATTCAACACTTATCCTATTTTGATTCAACACATAATTGAACATGAAAACATACAAGAATCTCCAATATACTAAAAACTAGAGTAAACTTCCAGCTGATCCATACACGTATTACACTTACCCGAATACAGTCTTAGAAGAATATTAACACAGAACAGAGGTACAGTGAAACGTGTTATACCCGTAAAGCTTATTACTGAACAAAACCCAGAAATCTAAGAAGAAAATACAGATTTTTGCAAGAAAGGGCGTGCGGTAGTACTTACATCTTCGTGAACTGTGGAAGATAGAAGGCGGCTAGCTGGGAATTGAATTTTAGGGTTTGAGCAAGAATCAAACAAATTTATGGATTCCCTGCGGGTTTTAGGGATGGGTTTGGACTATTGGAACTAAATATGATAAATCCGGTCCAATATAAAATTTACGGCCCAATTTCTTTGTTTAAATAATTTTTTTATCCATTTTTTGTTGGGTAAAGTACATAAATAGTCCCCGACTATAAGATACTATTTTGTTGAGTCTTCTGACTATTAAAAGTTACAAAATGATCCTCCAATTATAAGGAGTTACTTTGTTGAGTCCCTTGATAAAAGTTATAAAACGATCACCCGACTATTCATTATGTTCCAAACTCGTCATCTTCTTTCAAAAAATAAACATACGTCTGAGTTGGACGTCAACATGCTGATAAGATATGATAGTCTTTTAAGATTATGAGATTAGATTTTATCATATCTCAATTAGCAAGTTAAATTTCAGCTTAAACTGTCGTTAATTTTTTAACGAAAAATGATGCATTTAGAACATAATGAATA